AATATTTTTGTATATCTTCCAAAAACATATCGAATTTAGAATTAATTATGTTCAACGGCTTCCTCGTTTCTTTTTCACGAGTTCACTCGATTAGTTTCGGGCCACGATATCATATTATGAAATTAGTTGAGTTACCTCGTCAGTTACGTGAGCCTTTAAATATAATGTGTACAGACGAGATTATAATGCAGTATTTAAGTGTCAAAATATACATAAAAAAGGCTGATACTCATTAGAATTTACGCTTTGCACCAAAACACCTGAAATATGAACTGAATAAGTTTGATAACCCAAAAATATGCACAATAGACATTTTCGAGAGAAAAATTAGTCTTGGGCACCATTTATTTTATACAGAAATGTATTTTGGATAGAGTTTTATTAACTGCTCAATCCCAAGCGGTCACCGGTGACCGCTCTCCACTTACTCCATTATAGACCTTATTTTCGATGTTTACAGACAACTTTTGTATGAACAAATTTTCGGTACGATATATCAGCTTATTAATTAGGTAAGAATTTGAGTGAATTACCTGTGCTATAAAAGGCATGAGGTTGTTGGGTATACCGGCGGGATCCTCTCCGATGCGACCGCTACGGTGTGCGCCCACAGGGTTGAAATAACGCAACGATATTATCTTCCATCTCTGGCAAGAAAATATTACATTATGAATGTTCTCTTTTTTCTAAAGCTTAACAGTATATCTATTAACTGAACTCGTTTGTAAATTAATATATACACTAAGGTAAATATTACTAATAACATAACATAACATCACGCCTTTTATCCCCGAAGGGGTAGGCAGAGGTGCACATTATACCACTGTACAATGTAACACCCACTTTTCACTATTTATGTTATGAGTCCCATGTAATAGGGGGTGAATCTATTGCCATATACCGGGCACAATGCCAGACTCCGTGCTATTACTGAGAATATTTAAAAAAAAAGTAAATATTACTAATATAATAATAATAATATGATGTAATATTTATTAATACTTAATTTATTTAAGCAATCCATAAGGCTTAAAGAATTGACAAAAAAAATCTCTAAGGAAATAAGGATAGATAGCTTTAAATTGAAATTTGATCAACCAGCCCCGGTCTCCCCCAAAAGTTAAGATTTTTTTTTTATATTTGATGGGCTGACGTTTGACCACTATCTCGCCTGGTAAGCAATGATTATTTATAAGTATACCATTAAATAGTTATTTTCATGTATCACTAACCTGATCACTAGTACAGAGATCCTTCATGATCTCCTCGCAGAAGTACTTGGACTTGCCGTACGGACTGGTGAGCCCGCGGCCTGTCTCGTGTCCCTCGTCTATGGGCAGGCGCTCCGGCTCCCCGTACACCGTGCAAGACGAACTGTAGACTAGCTTAAATACGCCGTAACTGCGCATTACCTGTGGACAAATAGGCGATATAGAAGATTTTCCTGCCTTCCTTCTCCAATCGTCAAACTCAACATCCACAAATTTCAAATACCAAATCCCTATAAGATAACGTGACCAGATATCCCGTTTTGAACGGGATGTCCCTTTATATAATTACAAGTCCCGTTGTCCCCGAAATGAACTTTGTTTCCAAAAATCCCATTTTTGGAAACCACGCGAAAATTTTAATAGTCGAACCTATGCGACGACCGTTCGGACGGCTCGAGTGGTGTGCGAGAGCGATACAGCGTCATTACTACATATTATAAAGCAAAGTCGCGTCCGCCGTCTGTCTGTCCCTATGTATGCTTAGATCTTTAAAACTACGCAACTGATTTTGATGCGGTTTTTTTAATAGATAGAGTGATTCTTAAGGAATGTTTATATGTATAATATGCATATTGCACACGTGCGAAGCCAGGCCGGGTCGTTAGTTAATTATATACATACGAGTTATAGATATATAACTCGTAGTTTTTGAAGAAGTACAGTCGAAAAAACTTTAAGTAGGTTTTAAATGGATGTTAACCTTCTTGTTGTGGGCACAAAGTTAGCGTTTACAAGTTCTATAATAGGATCTAGCTACTAGATGCCTGATTGAAACTAAATAATCGAATGTCCCGTTTTGAGCCAAAAAAATAAAAGTTTTTATAATAACTATCGTGAGACATACTAAATTAACTAAAAATCGCCGGTTACTCACGTGAAATGCTCTACTAGTTTCGAACCACACGCTGCTAATGAAGGAAGAACCCCTCTGTGGTTCGAAAGTAGTAGAGCTTTTCTCAGTGTGACCGCGATTTTTAGTTAAAAAATAAATGGCCACGTTACTAAAAGACGACAACGTACTTGTAACTTCTCAGGTGGTACGGGTGTCCCTGGGAGGCGTCAATCACTTACCATAAGGTGATACGTCTACTCGTTTGCCGACCTATACCATAAAATAAATAAATAAGAAAACAATATTTTTCTCATACCTCTAGTAGTGTGCATGTCCCCGTAATGTTAGCCTGGTAGTACTCCAGTGGTTTCTGCACCGACTCGCCCACCGCCTTCAGCGCCGCGAAGTGGATCACACATTCTATACTGTGCTGGAAATTATTAACGAACATATTAATTTAAAATAAAATAAAATATTGTGCTAAATAAATGCTATTTTATGTAACTGTAATTGAAATGTGGGAGAGCCATGCTTCGGCTCTTAGGCCGGCTCGACTGGCGTGATACCACGGCCTCACAGAAAACCGACGTGAAACAACGCTTCCGTTGTGTTTCGTCGTGTGAGTGAGGTTACCGGAGGCCCAATTATCCCCCTCCCCTTCCTGAATCTCCCCGATCCCTAAATCCCAAACAATTCTTAAATTCCTAATCCCCAAAAGGCCGGTAACCGGTAACGCACTTGTAGCGCCTCTGGTGTTCTAGGTATCCATGGGCGGCGCCGATTGCTTACCATCAGGTGATCCGTCTGCTCGTTTACCGGTATATCGCATAAAAAACTACGTATCATTAGTTGGCAAAAAGTCAACAAATGTTTATACTAAGTGCTGCATTGGTCGCAACTAAAATAAAATTTGCTGAAATTTTCGGAGACATATACCCGAAAAAATGGTGCAATCAAATGGGTTGCCTGGGTTGGGCATCCGAAACTCTCACTTAAGAAATATATGTAGTTACAAACAGTGAATAATATAGACCTATCAGCTCTACGGAGAATAAAACACCTTAACCAGGGACTGAAAGCGGTTAAGGTATAACGGTACGGTACCGGTATAAAATAAGTGTACCGAAATTAAAGCTATACCGGTATTTAACCTTTATGCGATAACGGTACCGAAAAACTTAGATTTGACCGTTGCGAGACGTAAAGCTAGGAGTGTGCGGGGTGTGGTGCGAGGGGCCCCACTCCGAGGCGTGGAGCAGCGGCAAGCGAAAAACGCGCGCCTGTGTACCTGTTTATTCGTGTCACTGCTGCAACTAAACTACGCTACCGTTGTATGATTTGTGTGTACCGTACCTATCTAATAACTATATAATAGTCGTGTAACTATTAACTATGAGGCGGAAACGTAAAAATGCAGTATATGGATTGAGATATAAGTACTAATGAGTACATGCGTTTTTTTCATTTTCCAAGGAAAGTAATGTTTCTACATATTTAGTAACTGGATGCTTAGCTATAATAAAATAAGTATTGTACCCATTCATTGTAAACTTTGACCGGTCAGTGAGTATAGATGCAATATAGGTACTACTTATACAACCTATACCCTAAATGTAATTGGTAGGTATGTACATAATTATCTATCTTGTAGCTATAAGATACCTAACTATAACATTTATCTTATTATTCGGTACGTACCTATCTAAACTTTCGGATATCCTAGGTAGGTGTGTACCTAAGAACATCGTAATGTTTGTTTACTTATATTACATACCTACATAAAACCAGTCATTGGGTATCGTTCGTTAGGGTAGGTACTTACCTAAACTTTGATTATTTACTAGGTATATATAATATTATGTTCATAAGATGAATAGGATTAGGTACCTACCTTGGAATTTTAACTACAATTATTATATAATACAAATTATACAAGCCCAAACACAAGGTAGTTACTATAAACCGTTGATGAGTTCCCTTAACAATTACAGTTCTTCATCATCAGACCGTCAATGATTAGTCCTACTCCATCTAGGTGTAAAGTTCTCATCAATACAAATCAATCAAGCCCAAACACAAGGTAGTTAATATAAACCGTTGAGGAGTTCCTTTGACTGTCTGTCGGCTCCATCATCAGGTCGACTCCAGACCCTTTTCAAATTGTACATACATACTTACATAACTTCACGCCTGTCTCCCACGGTGGGTTTTTTCATCACCTATCATTACCTGACATTCTGTTATCACCTCATTTCTTTCTATCACCAACACTTTCGTCTTGTTCACATTTACTTTCATACCTTTCCTTTCAAATGCATCATTCATAGCAGTGATCATTTGTTGTAATTCTTGGGCCGACGAGGCAACAAGCACTGGTCGTCGGCATACAACAATGTTTTAATCACTGTGTCATTCATCCTTAATCCAGACTCTCCTACTTTCAGGTCGTTCAAACAGCTGTCCATAAATAGGTTGAACAGCCAAAGAGATGCTACACAGCCTTGCCTAACAACTCGATTAATTTTAAACCACTCTGTGTAGTCCCCATTTATTCAGACAACGGCACTCGAGTCCTTATATAAGGATTTAAGTACCCGAATCAGGTGGCTATCCACCCCATACATGGACAGAGTTGACCACAATTCATCCCTCACCACTCTGTCATAAGCCTTTTCTAGGTCTATAAAGGCACAAAATACCTTTTGGTGCTTTGATAACACTTTCTCTGAAATGAACCGTAACGAAAAGACTTGATCCGTACATTTCTTGATCCCATTCCCTTTCGAAATCCCGCTTGCACATCCCAGATTTTACGCTCAGTTACATCCATCACTCTTTCGATCAATACCTTGGCATACAACTTTCCTACTACGCTTAGGAGGCTTATACCGCGATAATTTTTGCACTCCTGCTGTGATCCTTTTCCTTTATACAGTGGCACAATTACGGCCTTGGCCCAGACTCCAGGGACACGACCGCACCGCCAATACTTATTAAAAATTAGATACACCAGGCTTGCAATTACACCTCCACCCTCTGTTAGCATTTCAGTAGTTATCCTATCACATCCCGCTGCTTTACCTACTTTCAAACTCTTAATGGCACTCACAATTTCATCCATATTTATTTCTCCCACATTAGCACTTTCATTTTCATCGTTTACTTCCTCTTCTTTCAAATCACTCCTTTCAAATAAATTCTCGAAGTATTCCTTCCACTGCTTTAAAACATCCTTACTTTCTTCAATGACACTCATTTATATCCCTTATCGTACTTACTTTCGAGTCCCCCACTTTGCCTCTGGCCTTTCTAACTAAATGCCAGAATAGTTTAGCGTTGGCTCGAAAGTTCCGCGAAAAATTCCTTTCAAACTTTTCCTTGCATTCATTTTTCTTCTTGTTAACTACCGCTTTTGCTCTCTTTTTGAGACTAATGTACTTTTCTATCATACTTTCTAGCACTCTTCTATTTGCCTTTGAGGCTAATAAGTCGAGCCATGCTTTCTTCTTTTGCTCTATCACCTCTTTTACTTCATCATCCCACCATTCATTCCTCTTGCTTCCAGTGTTATTTTTCTTGCTTACCCCACATACTTGAGTAGCTACTGCGATCACTCCATCCTTAAATTCCTTCCAAAATTCTTCTATATTCCTTTCGTAACCTTTCATTAGCTCCCTAAACCTTTCATTTAATAGTTTCCTGTACTGGTCCCTAGCTGCCTCTTCTCTCAACCGTTCAACTCTCACTCTCTCGGTTCCAAGCAACCTTACCCGTGGCCGATGTCTCCACTTCATTGCCAGTCCAGCTATTCTAGTAATTACTAGGAAGTGGTCGCTTCCGACATTCGTGCCACGGTAAACCCTTGTATCCTTCAGTTTTGTCCTCAGGCGTTCATCAACAATCACAAAATCAATCGTACTTCTTTCTGTATGCCTCTGCCATGTATACATATGTATCTTCTTGTGACCAAATGTTGTGTTGGTCACAAAAAGTTCCTTTTCTACACATATATCCAGAAGACATACACCATTCTCGTTCACTCGTTCGTCTCCAAATCGCCCTAATACTCTATCGTACCCATCGCGTGCCACTCCAACCCATCCATTAAAATCTCCAAGCATAATTATTCTTTCATTCTCTTTACATTCATTAAGAACATCTCTCAAGTTATCCCAGAATACTTCCCTCACCCCAATTGGCTTTGAGATGTCCGGGGCATAAGCACAGACGACAAATAATTTGGTCAAGCCAATTTTAAGGCGGATCTAAAGTATCCTGGGACTCACACATTTATACTCTTTCACACATTCATTCATCCTTTCAGATAGTATGACCCCCACGCCCTGGCTGCCTCTCTGGGAACTTGCAACACCAGACCAGTAAGCAATATATTGGCCATGTGTGGTAGTCATACAACCCTTTCTTTTCGTCTCGCTCATCCCTAACAAATCAATCTTTCTTGTATTCATCATCTCACATATTTCTAACATCTTGCCTTCTACGCCTCCACACACATTCAGTGTAGCA